CAGCTGGTATCAACTGCAGTGCCCCAAGGGTTGGTCCTGGGGCTGGTTTTGTTCACTATCTTTATCAACGACCTGGAAGATGGAAGGATTGTGCTTTTGGCAAGTTTGCAGATGACAGCAAGCTGCGGGGAGTAGTAGATATGCTGGAGGGTAGGGCTAGGATTCAGAGTGACCTTGACAAGTTGGAGGATTGGACCCAAAGAAGTCTCTTGAGGTTAACCAAGGACAAGCATAAAGTCCTGCAGTTAGGATGGAACAATCCCATGAATGAGTACAGGTTGGGCACTGCCGGGCTCTGTAGAAAAGGACCTCTGCAGTGAATAATAAGCTGAATATGAGCCAACAGTGTGCCGTTGTTACCAAAAAAGCTAACATCACATTGGGCTGCATTAGTATGAGCATTGCCAGAAGATGGAGGTTTTTAAGACCAGGCTAGACAGATCCTTGGGTAAGATGATCTAGTTGGGGATGGCCCTGCCTTGAGCAGGGGGTTGGACTAGATGACGTCCTGAGGTCCCTTCTAACTGTAATTTTCTATGATTTTATTATTCTAATCTTGGTCTAACATGCACAGCTGCTAGGACAGTAGACTGTGCAGACTGTAGGCCAACTGATGGACTAAGGAAGTTTTGTGGTGAGAGAGATGACAGGATGCACAAAACCACTATTGAACCTTGCCATGTGACAGGGACACAGGCTTTTGCAACCTTGAACCATGCTATGAGGTAGTCTGGGACTTCACTTGTAGTCTACATTATCAGAGTGAGGACATAACTGGTTGTTAAAAAAATAGATTTTATTGACCGGCAGTATGTAATGATCCTTGGGTTCAATAAAGATAGTCAGGCATGAATGAGAACTGGAAAAGTCACTAAGCCTCTACAATCCCTTTGTCTCTCTAACTATTACCTAACTGAGAGATTGCCTTCTATTACCAACTTCCTCAGTCTCCATAGTTAGGAAGAATCTCTAAATTATAACTTGTATCACTACACAAGGAAGATCATTGGTAAACGTGCCATTAGAAGAGAAGAAAAAGGGGACAGTAGAGTGCTAGCCACATACCAGGGGTGAGGGGGTAAGAAGTGATGAATTGTGGGGTGCCTGGAGGACCAGACCTGTGTCACAGAATGTTTGATGTCCACACATAACATTCAAAAGAGTACTTGATCTTCCAGGTACGCTTTTAGATCTTTCTGGGCAGCTTTAAACTGCTTTAACAGGCTGTATGGCTGTATGCTTCCGATGTAAACTGAATTCAAATTGGTCTATATGTTACATTTGTCCATACTCAGAATCTTTGGAAAAGGGAGGCAAATGAAGTTACGTGTTTCTAATGCCTGCTAGACAACCTATCAGAAAACTGGAGGGGGGGTAGTAATTGGGATTTTTTTTAAACATTCCTGCAAACTGGAGAAATCAGATAGATTACATATGCCTTATTGCTACATGCAGCAGAAGGACCTAAGTTGAGAACAAAAAGTAGCAATGTAATTGGGAAGCCATGGAGGTACAATTTTAATGACTGACAGATGTCCAGTATTGTCAGATGAAAACTGCTCCACAATAAAAATCTATATTTCTTTTCTTGTCTAACACATATTTTATTTGTGTATTACCTTCATTTTTTAAAATAATAGCTTGATGGGTCCTTTTAAGGTTTCCTTTCTTTAGGGAGCCTCTGATAGAATAATAGTGGGGTTAAGACAGCTGATAAAAGCATTGTTAAGAACTTGGGAGAAAAAAGACGAATGAAAGAAGGCATCTAATCAGGTTAGCTGGTGGTTGCAGATAGTAGAACAAGTTGTCATATTTATCTAAGTGCTGAAGTTGTTAAGTATAATTTTCCTTCATTGCTATCTAACTAAATTCTAAGGGGTTTTCTGTGAATTCTAGCTGAATTACAAGGAGTTTGGTATGATTTACATTGATAGAAATTGGAGAAGTGGTGGGCCTTCTATCATTTCTCTGTTGACTTTGCAAATGCTTCTTCATTCACAGATGGCTACAGCACTCTCTGTAGGATAGCAGCATATATACATTTTTGGCTGCTGTCCAACCTGGAAAATGCTTTTTAATTATAAAGCGTCACAGAAATGAAATGAAATGAAATGAAATGTCTGCTCAGTAAATCAAGGAGCTGCTCTACTAAATGAGATGTGGAATTCCTAATGTCCAAATACTCTGGAATTTTTTGGAAAAGATTCCTACACTTCTTTGGATTCATTCATTATCTGAGATCAAACAACAGTAATTAGTACTATCACTGTTTAGTATGGAAAAATGCCTCCAGTACAGAGGATTACATTGAAGGCTGAATGTACAGTACTTGGCCTGTAGTTTTTAGATGCTGGAATGAAATACATGGACATAACTGAATTGTGGTCAACCCTTCTGACAGCTTCTGACCCAGTCTTGTTAGACCATTACAGAAGTCTGTTAATACTCTTTTAGTGCCCACCGATAGCTGGCTGTGGCTTTGTCTAGCCACTAAGTCATTTTCCATAACCTTTACCTGGTGCTTCTGAAATGCTGTAGAGAGAGCTTCTTCATTTTTAAATAAATTTAACAGCCGCATTGGAGAAGAGAGCTTTGACATATGCTATAAATCACTGTTTCTGGATTAGAATTATACTACAAAATGGGTCCCTCAATGAGGCATTCCCTTACTGGAGATGCTGCTACAGGATGCAGTTTACATTTACTTGAATTGAATGGCTGTCACATATGCTCTGAACACTGGCTTTCTAATTAGATGTTTCTCCCCCCACCTCCCTCCTCACCCCCATTTCATCTGCACCCCCTTGCAAGGTGAACTGCTGCCAGTCAGCATAGTTGTGGGTGTCCTGTAGTCTCTTATTGAACCCTTCCTACTTGAAAGCCTTTTATTTTTAGGAACGATTTGACAACGCTGTCTTTGGAGGCTGTCTTGCAGAGCCTTCCATAAGATTTAGGGGATTGAGATTCTAAAGCTTAAACCTAGTATATCTTAACTATGTCTGATAGCAGCTTAATTTAATAGTTTTTTGCTTGATCTTGGTAGACAGTGGCTTTCTTGTACATTCTGCCATCATTGAAAATCTGCAATTTAAAAATTACAGTTATGGGATGCATGGGCATAAAAAGTGTCGGTTTAATAATTTTAAGATTGATTGCCATGGTTGCATGTGTATGTAATGAAACAAAGTAGTATAGAATATCAATTCTTGTATCTTCTAATTATGTTTCTTCTAGTCTGACTGGCCAAAATTATATTTTCAACTCTCATTAAAGTTGCCTGGGTAGATTCCTGTGGTCTGAACAAATGCCTGTTGGTTGAAGAGAGCGTTGGCCAAAAGTTTTCCCTTAATAATCTGAGCCAGAGATGATCGTTCATGATAGTGAGGTTTCTTCCTTTTCCTACCAAGGGTCAAGTGCAGCAAAGCTGTAGTAAGATGCTAACAATAGAATAAATAGCTGACATGATGAAACATGCCTGGGGCTTTAACCAGGAGTCTCAGCAGTAGGTATCTCTATCCCCTGGGAAATAAGTATTTCTTTTGGCTTTTCATGCCATATTATGTTTAGTCACATAACTATTTAAAACTAAGTGGTGAGATTTAAAAAAATAAATAAAATTCTATAATTTTAAAACAAAATGCCTTTTAGCCAAACAACAGGAAAATGCAATGGGAAAAAAATGTTTTTTAGATTGTGACTTCTTTTAAGAATACGAAAGCTTTAATATATTTTAGTGAATTAAGGCCTGATTGATTTTCCTTATATTACTGTAAACCCTTAAGTAACTCTATTGTATTTAATAGGTTTCACCATAAAGAGTAAGAGTGGGGCTATATTTGAGTTTGCAAAATGCTGTGTATGTTTAAAGGCAAATAAATGAAATTACCTTGAATTCTAGAGTCTCTGTGCTCTGCAAGGGGCAGCCACCTAAACCCTGAATTGTTGCATCAATACAGTACTAGTACATTAATTATCTGGGTAATCAAAGCAAATAGCTAAAACTGCTGTTTGCTAAAGATTTCATCTGGTGGTCAAGAACAAAGCTAGGTTTAGCTGAATAAAAGCATGCTTCAGACTGTTGGAGGCGACTGATCTTGACCCTGTATTAACCAAGTTAACAGCTGTGCAAGAAACCAGAGGTTCTTCCAATTTTACCTCTCCAGGGTTGCCATGGTAACGGTGGTGTAAGAAGAACTAATATGGACTGGCAGCAAGTGAAAGGAAATTTGATTTAAGTGAGCTAAATTTAAAATGTAGCAGCCAGCACAGTACAGTAGTTATGGACCAATGTTTTATACTATTTGGCCAATGAATTTGTCTTAATTTGCTGTTGCTCTGCAAACACTGAGCTAATGGAACATGTTTCTTACTTGATGTTTTTTCCACTAGCCTGAAGTGTTTTGTCAATGGGATTTAGTTTATATATGAAAATATTTTTCATTGTTTTGGCAATGTGGATTAGTAACATATACAGTACATTACTGCCTGTTGGAAAACAGCCACCACTTCAAGGAAAGTAACATGACATGTTTCAGTGCTGTGTTTATGGAGAGAAGACCACAACTCCTAATTCTGGCTGAGATCCCATGTCATTGCTTAGCACTTTGGATAAGATAAATTCATGTCCATAGAAACTGAAGATGGCTGCATTGTAAATTAGGACTGGGGAGTAACTTGGCTCTTCCTGCTGTGAAAGTCATTCATGGACTGATTAGATGCTGCCATTTGGGAGTTAAGGTGAATTTATGTGATAACACTTTCCCCCTCCCAAGTAAAATAGGCAAGTCTTTACAAAGTGGAAATATTTATAGAAAATTTTATAACTGCCCTATGCTCCCAAAAATGGAGAAACTAATTTGGAATGAAACAGTACATTTCTGGAAGTATTTAAGAAATGAGTCTGTGTACAGGGATTGGGATGGCCTGAAAATGCTCTGTTTTTATTACTTTTTAAAATTTGAGGGTATATATCTTACGTGTATTTTCATTCTCTTCTGTAGGTGATTCTCATCCTTACCAAGTATTACCATACTGACATGGGGAAAGTGTTGGAGAGCTCTTTGTGGAGGTAAGTTCTCAGCCTTTTCCTATGTCCCTTGTTTCTGTACCAACCACAGTGAAACTGTTTCTTTCTTTTTATCTTTTGAGGTTGCCTCTTGTGCTGAATTGCAGGCTGTGCGCCAGATGCAGGGTTGCCCAGATTCTCATTAGCTGTCACTTCTTCTTTTTTCCTTAAAAAGAAATGCACTTGAGTAGAGAACTTGAAAGTGGATTAACAGTTTATACAGTAGAAATAAAGAACATAAGGGAATAAAATAACTCTGAGGCCACCTTTAAAAGAAAAAAGAAAATTCCAGTTGTAAAGTGGGGTTCGCACACAACACCCTGCTCCCCACCCCCTCTTTTGTTTGTGATTTTTTTTTTCCTTTAGGTTTGCACATTAGGAGTTTTGCACCAAACCAGCAGGAACTTAATGTAGCCATTATCTTAAATGTCCGCTAGGAATTTCTGTTGTTGCTTAGCTCTGTATTTTGATTAGTTAGTTAGTTAGTTAAAGTCTTGTATCTTTCTGGTTGAAATGTGACAATTGTTTGAGCTGTGCTGCATCTTCTGTTTGGAAGCATAGAGTGATTCAAATCTAATTTTTTTTATCTCCTCAACATCCACAGCAACTGTGACAACATTCTTTCTGTTGTGAATATGCACTTTGTACAGACTATTTTAGGATTTTGAATACAGAAAAAGGCAGTGAAATGCTGTTATGCTAAGGCAACTCCATTGATCAAGATTAACATTTTTGTATGGCATCCTTATCCTTAGCAGTCACACACTTTTTAAGGGCATCAGTAGGAAACACACAGCCATAATTTCTCTGTGCTGTTATTCTGCTGAAGTGTCTTCTTTTTTTCCAAGGTGAATTGTTGATAAACATCCAATTGAAATGATGGATGCACTTGAGGGTGTAAATAAAAATATATAGTAACCTCCCTATTTTAGAGTACTTAATTTAAGTGCTTCACTACTGCATGGCAAGTCACAGACTATACGTTTAAAGTAATGTGCTTCTTCCCTGTTGCTAGATATGCTTTGTAAACCCTGATGTTCTATACGTTCATATGTGTCCTGGACCAAATACTTCTATGAGATCCTTCTACGAAATGTCACATACATTTTAAACATTGAAATATTTCCAATATTATCAAAAATGTAGAAACAATGCAAATTTTTAAAATATTAACTTTTTTTCTGGTTATGTCTAGTCAAAACATTTTCCTGGGCCTGGCTAGGTTGCAAGATAATTAGCAGAAACAATGGGAGACGGAAATACTCCTGGAGATTTCTGAATTTCTGATAGAACCTGATAACTTTGGATGAGGTAACCTACAAGGGGAGCATGAAGTCTCCTAGTGTCAGATATGAGGCTCAGATTGATAGACTGTCTTTGACGAGCCTGTAACAAACCTTAGCACTGATCTTTATGTTCAGGGGCTGGCATAATTGCAGCCCCTTGTGGTGCACAGCTTTGTAGAAGGCCTGGGGGAAGGCAAGGTTTATGGTCTGATATGGAGCAGGCTGGTTGTACCAACATTTATCTGGTTGGCTTCCACATAAGCTGGATCCAGACATGTGCAGTTTGTGGCTCTTCATAACACCACAAACCAAATGCCTGGCACGTTGAAACATGCCCTGTGCTGCAAATTTGCGGCATGAGGCAACATTTACTACCTGGAAATCCCGGTAGCAAAAAAAAAAAAAAAAAATGCCATAAAAGAAAATGGTGCACTGCACACCACAAGAGTTTGCGCTGGTAGACACAGAGGCTCAGTCCTCCTAGGAGATGCTCTGGCTGCCAGCCAAATTGTCTGCTCTCCTCTAGTTCCACCCTGGCTCCTACAGCACACCAGGAGGAGCGGGGACACGACAGTTTCCCAAAGCAGGGCATTTTGTCCTGCACCAAAGCACATAGGGGCACGCACAGTAGCAAAAAGTAGTGGCACAAATCTGGGGGGGCGTGCCTATAGAGTAGTCCAGTTGCTGCACTTCCTCATACTTGTGCCAGCATCTTGCTCCAATATTGTGCATGTTATGGAATGGTAAATTCATAACAGCAATGAGAACTTTGTGGCTCAGGCTTGAAATGACTTTTCTTTAAATTAGAGCTCTGAAGTGAGCATGCCAAGAACGGAAGATGCTCAGATTACAAAACTGCCTTGGGGTCCCAAAGAAAATATGCATAACATTTAAAATAAATACTGTCTCTCTTGAAAGCTACATATTCTTCACCATGGGACCTAAATAAAAACAGGAAAACTGGCAAACAGGGAACCAAACCACAATAGCAATTGCACAGTTGTACTTCCTTGTATGCATACATCAAAATAGATGCTGTAAACGGATGCAGCTCTATTGTCTTCAGTGGAACAGTATTAAGTTACACAAGCTGACAGTCTGGCTCAATGTATAACATGCATTTTTATTAAATATTTTTTTTCAGGTTGTACTTTTTCTTATTTGCATCCGGACAAAATAAAATAAAAGATGGCTGGAAAAAAAAAACAACAGATTTTTTGTACTCCAGGCAAAAACCACTCATTTCTGTGAGGCTTTTATGTCTTAATGGGGATGAATGCTTTCATATTATTTCCTGAATGAGTCCAGCATTTTTCTTTCTCAGTTTTATTATCTGCATAATGACAAATTTCTTTAAAAGTCTGTCCAACAATTTAATGTTTTTTATGTTGCTCTTTTGCCCTCTTTGCCTATGCTTTTCAGGAAACAATGTCCTGGGATGGCATTTATTAGGGCTTTAATTTGCAGAGTCCACAGTTGCTTTGTCTGTAGGTCTGATAGAGAACATCAGATTTAGAAGGGCTTTTAATTTATTTATTTTTTAATTGAATATGTTTGCCAATGAAGTCCTGGACTTATGCTCAAGTGCTGCCAGTGTGACAGCACTGTGGCTCTTGTGTGTGTGGTGTGCAGGGTTTTCCTCATAGCCTGTAGAACTGTTGAACTAAAACAAGACTATTAAAACTGGGAGTTTAGCTTCACTGAGTCTTTCTGATGGGTGAGTAGCTGAACAGCCCTTTATTGAAATTTCTCAGTGCAGACAGTCTACAAGGCCAGTTCTTGGTCACACTCAGTACACTTTACTTTGAATCCATTGACTTTAGCAGAGTTCATCTCATTTTATGTTGCTGCAAGTGAGGATAGAATCTAGGCTGAAGTTGACTTATACAAAATCAAATCACAGAGACAAGGGAATCAACCTCCAGGTTGAATCCTGAAATCCAGATAAACTGTTCTATTATCAGTTCCATTTGTGATTGTTGGTACAGTGTTTCACTTTCCTTTTGTGGTCCATAATAACCTAAGGGAATCCAGTCTCTGTCTGTACCTTGGAAACTTCCCTTTCCTGAAAACTTCCCTTTAACTTTTAATTTATTCATAAATTACTTTAAATGGATGATGTGAGTTATTATGATCAGGTTGCTAGTGTCTTTTTCTCCCAGCAAGGAATGCCAGATCATTTGGCAGTTTTCTGTCATCCTCTACCACAACCCTTCACTAAATTTGCACTCCAGAAATTATTTGGACTATCCCACTTATTAGGACTTGATTGTGATCATTTGGAATTATGCTGATCAGAGCTGATCACAGTAATTCTGCAGCCTTTGTGTATATCTCTGCTGCTTATGCAGCTACAAGATAACATTATCCCTTTGCTGAAAAATAGATGCCATGGTCTTGAGGTCAACTTCCCATTGGAGGAGAAATCCATGACATCGAATCTGGGCATATGCTTAGTATAACTTATTAATTAAACTAACCAACAGCAGGCCTACAGCAGAATTAGTCACATATGGCATGTAGAGAACTCTTTCTTTCAGGGAACTCTGTATATCATCAGAGATTGGCTCCCAAGGAGTAATTATACTTCAAAAATTGACTTGTATTAAATACATCAAGACAAAGTGAAAAGTCATTCACAGCTATTCCAAAGAATTTGTTTCAGAAAATCAACACCATAACATTTCCTTCTAAGACAAAAAACTTGTTCAGTGCTAAGGAAAAGAGCTTCTAAAACTGTGGCATTCAGTGACCCCTGCTATAACAATACTTTCCTTCAAACCATAAATTACTGGGTGCCGTGTGAAATTCTATGGCCTGTATTATGGAGGAGGTTAATCTATAAACACTAAGTAGTAGACTTGCTAACAGACTGTAGAAAAGCCTGTATTTCTTTTCTAGAACACGCTGCTTCATTATACCTCCCTTTCATTATTCCTATCACACACACTGTGTCTACACATGAATTTACACATCCCTAAACTTAATGTACCTTAGCCTGAGGTGCATTTAGGCTATCTAGGCACGCATCTACATGTGCAGGCCTAAAGGCGCCTTAACGTGGTTTGCTGAGCAAACACGCTTGCAGCCCAGCACTGGCTGAGGGGGTGGGAGTCTCCAGTCCCCCTGGATGCAGTCGGTAGAGCCCCAGCCCTGATCCCAGCTCGAACCCCTGCCCCTGTTCCTACCTCCCCAGCATTGGTCAAGAGTGGGCTGGAGCTGAGCCTGCAGGGCCCTGCACTGCCACCAGGTGCCACCAAGAAGAAGCGGTGGGAGCTGTTCTTCAGGGTACGGGTGCTGCAGCAGCAGCTCCAGCAGCACCGGTACCTGTCAGTGTGCTGACTGATGACTGCATGCAGGGACACAATGCCTGCCTTTGCCTCTGCCAGTGTGGTGCGGTTCCTCTGCTCACTGCACAATGCAGGAAGCGTGTGAGGCTGCCACTGCTTCCTGGCCTGCTCACACGTGTGCCAGGGCTTGGGTTGTTTTGTTTTATTTGTGCCCCCATGTGCAGTCGTCGGTTGGCACACCGACAAGGGCTGCTGCTGCTGGAACCACCACTCTAGCTCCAGTTTTGGCTCCTTGGAGAATAGCACCCACCGCCGTTGCTTCCTGGCAGCGCTCAGTGGCAGCACAGGGCCCTGTGGGCTTGGCTTCAGCCCGCTCAGTCGACATATACAGTGTTAAGGCACCTTAAGGCATCTACATGTCCCTTAA